ATTAATATACGTTGGGTAAGGGCAAACCTGTTATATATAATAGTGATCTTTGTTGGCAAAAGAACTGGCCTCAGTAGAGTCTGAGATCTCAGTCTCATGTAAATTACAGATTTTGCTGATACGCTGGACTGAATCACCAATACGTGACCTACTCTAGCAAAATCTGATGCTTTTATTTCTCTTGCAAGTCAAAGTTGACTTCTTGAAGCAATGATGGCCTTCAGAAACAAATCAAAATAAAAATTTCAAGGGTCAGTTGTGCTTTGAAGGGTTTTTTATGGTTTAAAGTCAGAATTTGTAATTCAGTTGTCAGATGAATCGTAAATCTTTTTCATGATTTATTTTTAAATTTTACACCAAGTGATTGGCTTTTTCAGTCACTATGAATTGGCCATATGCTTTGGAATTTTACTGACAAACCCTTAATTTTTCTTGCAGAAATCCCTCTCCCAAATGAGCAGGCTCGACTTGATATTCTCAAGATCCATGCCGCTCCCATCACCAAACATGGAGATATTGGTAAGAGAAATGTACTAGAGTGTCATATGCCTTTCTGTGTCTTTAGTTGTCCAACGTACTGGCTCTTGATCAATGGGATGTTAATAAAGTGAATGATGTAGTGGCTTTGATTCACGCATTGAATTTTTGGGACTAGGAGATATTGATGCACCTAATGTAGTTTATGTAAATGAGAGTTTGGCTTGTGAAGGTATCTATATTAGGTGTGCAGTCATTACCTGGGTGATGCTTTTTTTTTTTAATATGCTGGCGCCCAGGAAGAGATTTTCAGCCCACCTGTGATATGTTTACGAAGAACTCTTGTGTGATTTCCAACACAGTCCATCTTCAGAAATTTGACTTCAGTTCGCTTTTCTGTTACTCAGACTTTGAAGCAGTCGTCAAGTTATCTGATGGCTTCAACGGAGCAGATCTTAGAAACGTTTGCACGGAGGCAGGTATGTTGAGAGAAGGCATCGGCAAGTGATTTACTGCTCTTTGTATAATTCATTAAAAGAGCATCTGCTGAAAGCAGTGGCATGATAACCGTACACTTTGTACTTAGGCATTGCTTTAATAAGGTAGTTTCATTCTCGGTGTGGACCTTAACGTTACTTGTTGACATCCAGGCAAGCACTTCCACTGGGAAATTGGTAATACAGCAAACTCTTGATAACTAGAAGTCTGTTAACTTGAAACTCCACTTATCTCAAAGACATTCTTCATTCTCACCAAAAGAATAGGCTTTTATGTACCAAAATACCTCTGCACGCGAAATGCCACACCACAACATCCGCTTAACTTGAAGTTTTTGAAGGGCTGATCCAAAAAGACCGCTGTCAAATTACTGACAATGAGTGGAAAAAGGAACCTAGAGACTTTAATTATGAGTTATTTCTGCAAACCACACTTTGTCTTTTTGCATGAGGACACAAACATGCTTGCTGCCAGTGCCATTGTAATTGACTTGTTGGACCACAACCTAAACAAATCCCGGCTTTCAAGCAAGCCTGATTGCCATTACGGCCCAAATGCTGTCCGCATCCATGCAGTCCAATTGTTGATTCTTTATGGTTGCAATGTGACCGCACTGAACGAAGCTTTGTGCATGCCGTGGCTAAAGCCTGGCTGCCACCGCCTGCCCAATTGCAGTGCTTGCGCACCGCTCACAGCCATGCTGATTGACTTGTGTTCCCAGCGCAATGCTGGAAATGCTATTTGCGTAGCCAAACTCCGCTCGATTTTTTTTTAAAAAAGGAAAGGTAAACAAATAGTTTCTTTTTGCTTGAACGTTTTGAAATGCAAAATGGTGCACCCTCAAATTATTTAAAAGGAATGGATGATCATGTGGCCAAACAGGAAAACCCCAGGCCCGTCTGGCCCCGGCCAAGTAAGTGAACATAGGGCTATGCGCTTCGCGCCGCGGTGGGCGCCGAAAGGAAGAATTGTCACCAAAAAACCCCACAGTTTTGGTGGTTTATGTTTCATTTATCAGTAGAATAGAATATTTTATATAAGAAAAACATGAGTTCTCAGCAAACTAATGATTTTTGGATATAAGGAAATAACCACTAATAACGTCTCCAATAGCCACCACAAGGGCAAGTAGGGTTACTTGTGCACTGTGCGTGTATGTGTGGGCAAGACTAGGGAACTTTCATTAGCTTGAAATCCAGATAACTTGAAATCCAGATAACTTGAATTTTTGAGTTATCGAGAGTTTACTGTTGTTGGACATGTGCCAATTCAGGCAAATTTCATCACCAGTGCTTTGTAACATCAAATTTTCTGTGCATTTGCAAGAAGTGTGAACTGTTCCTTAACCCTAACCTTCCCTAACCACGCAGAATTGAACACCAGTAAAAGTGTGTGAATTTGTGGCACTGGGTACTGTACCCCTAAACTGCTTGTGCTTTAACATGGATTCAGGCATACCAAAAATAAACGGAGTCCAACAGTTTTTGTGCACAGTTTACCATATGGTGTTGGAATTTGTGTGAATGGGTATAGTTCCCAGTAAATCACTCCGGGGAGATAGAGTTAAAGTGCACAGATTGGCCACATGACCATTCTTATGTGCCTAGAGCTTAGCTTGTACGGACCCAGCTTTTGTACCAACTATTCAAACAGCTATATTGTTTTAAGTGGACACTGAGGCTTCCAATCATTGCACCTCAGAAAGGCAACATTATACCCTGTCCGTGTCACTCATTTTCAGATTCACTGACGTGCGTGTTGAAGTTGGTACTTGTTTTTTTGTTGTTGCAATAGGTATGTTTGCAATCCGTGCGGAGCGTGAGTACGTTCTAGATGAGGACTTCATGAAGGCTGTACGGAAGGTTTCCGAGAGCAAGAAGTTGGAGACAAAGCTGGACTACAAACCTGTCTGAGTCAGAACTCCTGCCCCCTCCACCCAGAAAATAGAGGACTGAAGACTCATCTTGTCACCGCAATGAGAAGGCATGGCTGAGGGTAGCACTTTGCTTGTGCTGGTAGTGCAAGCATTGTTCAGTTTGTTCAGTTGTAGGCATTTGTGGACCCACTGGCAATTTAATTCAAGGAACATTGGGTGTACCCATGACATAATGTGGTCTCAAGTCCGTTATGCCTTCTCATTGCCGTCATGTGATTAGGGCCTGTTTACACAGACAACCGTTAACAAACGTCAGTGCTTTCCATGTATATCAGTGACGGTGTTTTCCTATGGGCCTGTTTGCTGAGAGTAGACAAAATGGGTGATATTTCAAGAGATACTGCCCTGTGACAGTGCACTCTGGCCATTCAGTGGTCTTGCTGGGTATGACATCACAGACTGACTGATGTGGTTGGGCACTGCCATGCCGCACCCTAAGCTTTTCCCATAGGTCACTATTGTTTTTTTGTTGAAGTTATTAGCGTGATTGGAAACTGAGCAGGTTTCCGCCCTTATTTGTACATGTATTTGCAATCCATGTATGCTGTGCAGCACAGCACTTTTCGGTCAGCTCTGTCCGTTATCACTTGTCTGTGTAAGTGGGCCCTTAGTCCGTAAGGGTAACTGATGAATCATTGAACATGTATTATGGTACTGCAAGATGTTAGTTTGCTTGGGGGGAAAAAATATCTACCCTGTCTGGTTTGGGAGCTCCATCCACACGAGCTTTATATCCTATTCAATTTTTAACTAAAACACAATACACGCAAATAGACCACAGATCGTCTATTCCTTCGGTAAGGGGCTCGGCAAGGGGTTATGAACGTTTTGTGGACTGTGTAAAGGAGATAACCAAAGATAGGAAATGAGGGTTTCTCTGGTAGATTTGAGAGATTTCAGTAACACACTGGCCTTCACAATTCTTATACCGTTTGTTAAGACTGTCTTGTAATGACACCTGTATGGACAAAGGGCGCACGCTGAATAAAAGTGGGGTAGGAAATAAAATTTATCAGACTGGTCAAGTTGAAATATCATTTCCCAGACAGTTTTGAGCAGGTCTGTTCCAGTCTAGGGGATGCTCGTTTGTAACTTATGAATTTCTGAGTCTCCAACTTGGAGCTGTCAATGTTTCTGTCCTGAACGTCCCATTCTGAGGTAACCTTAGTCAGAACAATGACACATTTCTTTGAAAACAAACCTCAACACAAAGACAATTTGTTGGAGATTTATTCTGAAAATCTTCCTAATTTATTTTTTGTTACCTTGTACGTACAAGCTCAGCGATGTTAAAGGATGTCATCAAGACAAATTGAACCCCAGGAAAAAACTTCAAAGTATCCTTAGACTTATTGGGACGAAGGTAGCCCAAGGGTGCCCAGGGGATGTTTACCTACCTGTAGTTGGTTTGTGAAGCTATGTGTTTGCTGAACTTCTTGTACGTTGTAAACGAATTTGGTAAGAACAGAAAGAAATAGTCCTTTTTATGTCAACTCGTGTCGACTGGTAATTACTCTCTGACCTTCAAACAGGACACACAGAATAAATGAATTCAGTGGTCACTTGAAATTTGGTGTGTTGTCTCTTTATTAAAATCATTTCCATTTTCCTAAAACAAAACGGACACAATTGGATCAACGTAATCTTGCTCTTATGTAACTTTCAACCAAAAATGGATTCATTTCGTTTTTCATGCTGCCTGAGCGGGGGGCAACCAGGGATGACTTCAGTCTCGTCATGTTTTTTTATTCAATGTGGGAAAATTCCAAATGGCAGCTTTAGATAAGTATTAGTCTGTGTTTGGACAGTGCTGTCCAAGCTTATCAGTTTGATGTGCAGTTCATCGGAAAGTTTCTATTTTTTTCTCCAGTTGGAATGGTGACTGCAGAACTCTACAAGATGCCTATTGAATAAAATGATTCTCACAGAAACATTCCAGGGATGTTTCATTCAATCTGAAAGTCCCACTGTGTGACCCTGGGTACTGATTAACCAACAGCACTGCTCTCTCCAGCAATCTAAAGAGTGCCACTCTTATATTGCTGGGCATCATTTCATGGAGTAGAGCGGCCTGAAGAACGCATTGTTTGGCACATTTTTAGGCTTAGCAAAAATGAGCGGCGTGCCTGTCTTGAGTATTACATACACTCTGTATGACACCTTGGTAACTCGTACTTACTTAGCCTATTCATTTCCTATGCTTGGCTGAAAGTTCAGCTTAGCAGCTCTTGGAAATGGATCCTTGGTCATTAGAATGAGTGCACATTAAATATACTTGCCATACCTCTGTCCTGGATACTGTCTGTTCATTGGCCCAGAATGATCACATGACAGGGCGATATGTCTGCATATCACACTCACTGTGGCATCTTTCTGCCAACAGCATGTGCACATGCATGAGACAGAAGAGCTTCGGGAAGTTCGAGAGCAACTGTTGTCACTCATTTCAGTCAGTTTTGCATGGTACCCATGATACGTTTTGTGTATACCTTACCAGGGAATTCGATCAATGGTTGCGCTCGTACAACAGACTCGTTCCTGTCCCCACAATGTATAATGTAATGCAGGGACCGCTAGCCAGACTACATGTACATGATGTGAACTTGTACTCACTGGTATCTGCACTACTTTCACATTAAAGTTTACCCAATTAAAGAGAGTGAGGGAACAGTGCCTTCGCAGACGGCATCGTTAATGTTAATTATACCGTTTGACAGAAGGCCCATCTTCTTCTGAACTTCTGGAATTCAGGGCTTGTTTCTTTGGATACATTCCTTCGCATCAACACAATCAAGACAGAGGTATGACAAAACAATTGTTGGCTGCTGTGATGTGGGATAAGACATTCTAAACACCCAAGCAACGCACAGTGAGGCAAGGCAAATTTCATGTCAAACAGAACATAGCCTTAGTACATCCACACACATTTTAACTGGTGACCGATGAATAAGGAATTACCTCAGCGATTGCATATACATGTTTTTGCTAACTGCCATTGGCAGTTTATCCTGTTAAGTGACGGATTTCAAAATAAGTGTCTCTGATTCAGAAGTACACTATGATGATACCAAAGCAGTGTCCGCATCTTCAAATTCTGAGCTGAACATCGGCATCTTCTGACAAACATCTACCATTCCATGAGACAGACAAAACAAAGTACATTTCTACAATACTATACATGTAAGGCGGATTTAAAACACACTTGATGTATTACACGATCATTTCAAGTTCTCTTGCATACTCGATGACCTGTAATGCTAGTTCATGTGATGGTATAGTTTCCTCCGCTTTCTTGTCTGTGTGGAAGACAAAATAGTTGTCCTGGCCCAGCCCCCAGCCACGCTAAAATGAGGAAGGACAGAGTGACAGGGTGTTAATTGTCATTTCTACTATGTACCAAGTATCAACACTTCCTTCAGCTATTATCAACTCAGCCAATCACTCGGCAGTCATGGGAAAATGGTTGGGACAACTTGTCAACAGAAAGCCTTGTTCAAAGTCCTGACCAATGATGGCTTACATGTTTATCCTTAGAAAGCACTGAGTGTAACCAGATCACAGAAATAACTGGATTGACTGTTTTTCAGTTTAAAAAAGAGATAATTTGCTGAGCTCACCTTTTCAGCGTAAGCCTTCATCTCCTGAGGCTTGGTGAAGAACAGCATCCTGGCTGCCTCGTTGAAGGCTATTCTCTCATAGGCCTTGTCCAGACACGTGGCAATCTCGTCCCTGATGGTCAGCAGGAGGATGTCGATGAAGAAGTTGTAGCTCTCCGCGGGGACATTGCCCTTGGCAAGAAACACCTGAAGGGAGAAGAGGTAGTCAGCAGGTCTTCGTGAGTCATTCAAAACTTATCTGCTCTCAAGCGCCAAAATATTTGAAAGTGCTGACAAAGACACCAGTTTATCACTGCTAATCCACTGTTCCTTGTGATCAGAACTGCAATATGATTTGTGACTGATTCACCCAAAGCTTTGTCAGAAATGCCACCATGTCAACAGTTTCAATACCCAAAGCAAAGGAGGCAATGAAATGCACACACACGCATTAATTCTGACGAATGGCTGACATTCCATGATGCTTTCACAGACCCGAAAGCACACAGTTGTGGGGGCTCCACATCTGTTGAACGATGATTATTGTCAGGACTGCAAATGTTGTAGCGGGGCCTATCAAGGTCCCTGCAATCAGGTTCAAATGGTCCTACTGAGATGCCACACAGACATCAAAAAGTGTCAGTACATAATGCATGGCTAGTGTGCTGCTCAAACAAATCTGCTAAGCACAGTAACTTTGCTCAACAAAAACTGGTTAGCGACCAGAAGGCCATGGCATGTGCATTTGCCTGTGATTGGTGCTCTGCTAAAAACTGCTGAGCATATTAACTTGCTTGGCAAGATGTTCTACTATACGGCTCTTCCAAATTGGATTCTGGTGCTCAAAGAGGGACAACTCCCAAGAGCAAGTTTAGCCCACATCTGAATCACTCAGCTGCGGCTTAAAATAAGATGCCACTCTATTGGAAGTGGCCACAGTCACAACCAATGACCTGTGGGCAGTGTCGAGACGCAGCCAAGTAATTTAGACAAAGCCTTGTGAATGTGATGGTTACTGGGCTCCTGTTAGGGGCTGCTTGGACTGAGAAGGCTAGGCAGGCAAACGAACCCACCTTGTTGTAGCTGCCTTCCATGAGGTGCTGCTCCATGGACACAGGGTGCTTGATGTAAATGTTGTTCTGGATTTCTTTAGCAGGTAGCAGTTCCAATTCCTGCAAAATGAGTACGCCATAAATTCGATTCAGTGACAGAGATAACGTGACTAGGCTGCCGGGCCTACAACAGGTGTGAGGGAAACAAGACACAGGTACCAGCTGGAAAAAAAGGTGTAAAAATGGGGTGCTCATTACAACACCGTTCTCCAATGCCAACAACCTGTAAATATAACGCAGGCCATATCTTGGTCCCACGGTAATTTTGCAGAGAAAACATTGATTTATATGGGTCAAGTGCACACAACCACATTGTATGCACTAATTCCCCTCTTTCATTACCAAGGGCAAGATGGCATCCAATTGAGAGACTGAATCCAAACATAAAACGTGACATACATGTAAATGCAGGAAAGGACCCATTTAAAATACTACATGAGATGCAAAACGAACATTTTCCTATTTAAATGGTTCATACTGAAAAAAACACAAGCCGAGACTCAGCCATTCTGAAAATTTGAAGTAGCTTGCTTTTGTCAACAACTTCTACACTGAGAGTTACAAGCTGGTGAAGATCAGGTTTTGAAATAGCTACACATTACTACAAAAGACAATGGCTTTAAAGGCTGTTCTCTCAACATCGAACATTTCCTCCATATGAAGAAATTCTGTAAATCCCCTCACAAGTGTTTTGACTTAAAAGCAAATGGTAAGGGCAGGTGGTTGAGTAACTTCGTTTTGAAAATAACTCCTGGAGCGTTCACGTAACTTCTACTCTTGTTACTGTGGCACTCACCGTGTGGAACTCGGCGAGTCTGTTTTGTGCGAGTAGTCTGAGAAGATTCAAACCAAGGAGCTGAAACTTATAGGATGATTCCGGTAGCTCTTCCCTGAAACAGACAAACAATACTCCCAGAATCCTTGAATTCCTATTACATTTTGAACCTGCGGTTTGGAGTACAACACTGACTTCTCATGTCCATAAATGTATCCACTTGTTGACATCACCAAGCAATGCAAGCACGTTTTAAATCCCTGCAAAATGCTGAAGATGACAAGCCTGCATCAAATAATTGCCTGCAATGGCAATTCCACATACAGCAGTGCTGTTGCATGTCTTTGGAGTGGCAGCAGGAATTGAGGGACATCTGTCCATGCAATATTGAAGAGAAAGTTAGGAACATGAACCACTGCACACTCAGAGAGCCTCCCAGAAAGATCTAAAGCTTTGTACCAGCCGATGTTTAAAATAGCTGAGCCTTGATGGTTATTGCCAACAATACCTGGTACACTGCTTCCTAAGGGAAGGCAGCTTCCTTAGAGGGTTATGAATGCATGCCTTGACTTGCCTATTCTCTCAAGAACACAGGCCTCTATATCTTTTTGTCTCTGCCAATTTGTGCATGCCATGTATTTCAGGTTAAAGTGAGAGTAAAGCAACTTTGATGTCAAGAAAAATAAGCCTCAAAATGAATTTGCCACTGTTCAAAAGTATTCAACTTCTCTACATTCACAGCATTAATTTTGACCTTACGTCACAATTTCACACTCGTTTGTCCTCTCGCATCCATGTACGGTATGAATCGGCCTTCAGGATGTTCTCACCCCCTTTTGTTTATCAGTCTGTCTGTTTGTGCATGTTATCAAAAAGATAGCAACATATTTTCCTGACATTTGGTAGAATGGTAAGCCATGGACCAAAAGATCAATTGACTAGATTTTGGTGGTGTGACATCATGACGATTTTTCAAACACCCATCAGGGTATGTCCGATCAACTCCAAATTGGTGGGTTAGATAATGATTTTTATATCAAAATTCATAAGATACATTGTGATGACATCAGCAGTCGAGCTGGGTTGGTGGTTTATACATGCTTTCCATGTAAACATACGCAGAAAGTCATGCTCACCTGTAGTCAAAGTAATATGGCTTCAGTTGTGCCATGTATCGCTCAAATGACTGGATATCTCCTTTCAGCACACTCCATTGCACGCCTATCTCGAGGATATCACCTGAAAAAAAAAAAAAAAAACTACTCTTATCCTTTGACAGCACGTGCTGACTCCATGTACTGCATGTACTGTTGTTGTTGTTGGCACAAACCAAGCCCTAAAATGTTAAGGTAATAATTTAATAATTTCAGTCAGTTTTTTAAAATTTGATTGCCTGAAAAATCATATAACTGTAAGCTTGGGTGACTCATTGGAATTAATTCCAAGCCTGCAGGAGTTACAATTCCATTTGGAATTTACTCCAAAGTAAGAGAGAAAATCAAGAATCACTAAAGCCAGGTCATCGAAGGAAGGTCTCTAAAATGTGATCAACTATGTCATGAAAATGTTCTTTTGAAGCATCTGGAGTCAAATCTCTGAAGAAAAATGAATTAGCTACATGTACCATCAAGGAAAAAGTCAATTCTTGAAAAATTTTGACTTGATTCCTAATCTTTGAGTTCAGAAATGATTTAAGGGTGGCTTTGGCAAAGCCTGATATCTGATCATTTTCGTCCCTTTTGTGTTAGACTGACTGATTTTGGTTTTGCTTTTTATTTGCTTCTCTTTTTTTGGGGGGGGGAGGAGGGATTGGAGAGGCTACTTACGTGCTATGATGAGTTCTTGTTTGGAGGGCTTACTGCCAGCTATTGGTAGGAATGACAGATTCAACAAAGCAATCTACCGCCAAATAAGAAAACCAAACCAAAGTCTGTCAAACCTAGAAATGTTTCTTCGTTGTCCTCTGAATTAATTAAACTGCACGAACATGGTCTTAAAATAATCTTTTTTAGCAGTGGCTATTTGACCATGGACCAGTCGTCAAGGGTGTTTGCAATTTTACCAGCATTGTGACACTGAATAATGTGCTGTGAGTGTTATAAAATTATTGATGTTGAACATTTTCATCAATTCGATGGAGTAGATTTTACATGTTATGTCTCCCCATGTGGGTTTTCCAAGATTTCCCCTAAAAAAATTTGTACATGTACACATGTAGGCTCCTGATATGTCTTATCAAACATATTAATGGCTGCTACAGCAATGTTAGACTGGTTACTAGTGATCCAAGTATCTTTAGTAGACTGCAAATAATTGTGAAAAAAAATAAGTTTGAGATAAGGTTTTTGTACCTAATGTTAGATGTAAATGGTTCTGATAAATTTCCTTGACAAATCTCTTGTGCAAATTACATGATTTTTGTGTTGGATCAAGCAAAGATTACTGACATGACCGAAGATCAAGCAAATGGAGTGATCACACCAAACATAAACACGGCAATATGAACAGATAGAGTTCCATGTATAGATGCCACTTGACACCCTGTGCATAAACATGATAGGCCTAAATTCAAAGTGTTTTCTAAGGCTAAATGAGTATTTTCCCTCCTAAATTGAACTTTTATGGATATGTTTTTGCTTTCTGCAGGCTAATACTTCAGGTCACTGTGGTAGGGAATGGTTACTGGCGTCCGTATATGAAACTCTTTCAATATGAACATCAATGTATTCGTAATGGAAAATGTGTGGTCAATGATCGTACATGTACTTACCGTGATGATGCGGTAATCGACTAAATGATCACTCCCACCTGCCCATGTTTATGTCAGTCATAAGCCTTGCAGTTGATACCGCATGAGTGATTTTGCACAATGGTAGAAAGACAATGTGGGAAGGAAAAGGGGGCAATGTTTGCTCCTTTTTCCTTCCCACAATGCCTTTCTACCATTGTTCAAAATCACTGAGCTCAATTGCAGAATACCTGCACGATAAACCTCATACTAGCCAGGTACAGGTCAAAGTGTCACGCTCTCTTCGAGGGATTTTCACTTGGTACCCACTTAACTAGTCATTCCAGGTTTTGTTTTTTAGAGTGGCGAGGTATTCTGCAATTCGATCACTCTTGCGGGATCAACAATAACTTGAATCATGAATAAGGCTTATGACATCGACAGTCATGACAGTGAATCAGCAATACAACCGTGTGAGCAGTCCGACATTAAAAAGGGCAATAAAACCAAACAACAGTTGTCATTTCTTTCATTATGGAACTTCCAGGTGCATTTTACCTTTAGCTGCCCAAGAATGTCACCACACTTATTCAGGTTTGGAGGTTTCTTGTTCCATTCCCTGTTTAGTTTCTGGTACATAGAGACAGCCTCTTTCATTGTCGTCGCCATGTTCCTAGCTTTTGCCGACTATAATTGCGCCCTCTATCGGTTTCGTACATGCACTTGCGGCGCGGGCGAACAGTGGACCCCGACAACAATTATGAGATTTTGGTGTATAGTAACCGGAGGGGGGGGGGCGTTTCCCCCAGCGGATGTCCTGCACCTGGGACACCCTCACCCAGCTTGAAATCTTTGAATCTCCGTTGAAATGCCTCCTTAAAAAATATGTATGCACCCCCGGAGTTCCCCCCCTCGTCACTTAGCCCTAGTTAGGCCATAAGCTTCTGTCAGGAATTCAAGCAATGCGTGTTTCACACTGGAAGTTCAAGATTATGACCGGCAGGACAGTTTTTCTTTCCGATTCCACAAGTTTTATTTTTTTAGCAGTCAACGTATTTCGTGGTTTGCGACCCTACAAGTGCAATAGCTGAATATATGTGTATGATATTAGAGGTTTTTTTTTTTAGAAAAAGGGGGGTATTTCAAGAGAACCTGAGAGAAAACGAGGTTTAACTCTGAAAGAGCTTGCGTATTTTGGACAATCTTAAAACACCGTGGGGGATCCCTTCCCCAAAGGAGCGGCCATCCCATGCGTGTAAAACACTCATTGTCATTACAGCAATGTAGAGTTTCAACTCAATCGTATTATATGGTTTTGTTACAAGGTATCGTGTTCTACAGACGACAAAACTGCGTCGCGTCGTGCCGTCGCCCCGAGGCCCGGTGACGACTAGTCAGCTGCTACGACTGTTCCGTCGACGCGTCGCGTCGAGCCATCTCATTACTGTTATTATAGCCGCCAAAATCATGGTGCACTATAGCCGCCAAAATGTGCGTCGTGTTGTCCCGTCGCCCCGACGCTTCGATGGCTCTGTCGTCTTGTGGTGTCGCCTCCCAGAACTACAAAAAAAAAAAAAAAAAAACCAAAAAAAGAAAGACAAAAAAAAAAACTTCACGAGTATTCCGTGATTTACGCGTCGCCTGCGCGACTAAAATCAAAACAATGGGCAAATTCAGCCCTCGGCACAGGGATAAGTGTAAGACTTTACACACAGTTCAAGAATTCCAACCCCAAATTCCATGAAGCCGTTTTTCAATTGTGAAAAAAACTTCCTCTATTTATTAAAACGATGCGTTTGCAAAATGAAGAGGAACAGTCTAGGAAATCATCAAAAATCCAGCTCAAAGAGGAGTTACAGTGGGACAAAAAGGAGCATTTACGTACTTAACCCCAGGAGAATAAAGGAATGTCCACACTTCGTTGTAAAGCAAGTGTGTGTGAACGTCGGGTTTAAGAATGGCCACGGCCAATTTTATGGATCATTAGCATGATTTTTTCCTTGATAAAAACAGGATTACCAAGAAAAATGTTAATGTGTTGTGTATTGCTTGTGACTGGTGTTCGGCTGATGTTCGCTTATCATAAAAATGACATGGGTTTTTGGCTGGTAACCTTTTTTCCTGAGCAAGACAATACTGTGCTTAGCATCTTCATGAAAATACGACATTCAAACTCCGACACACATGACGTTTGCAATTCACACACACGATGTTTGCAATTCACGACCAAATGGCGTTCTATGGCCGCCAAAATTGCGTCGCGTCGTGCCGTCGCCCCAACAACATGACACAACGCTACGATAGCTCCGTCGCGTCGGGGCGTTGCGTCGTGGCGTCGGGGCGACGGGACGACGCGACGCACATTTGGCGGCTATAGAGCACCATAAGAAACAACACGATGCGACAACACGACGCGAGGCCACGACGGCACGATGCAAAGCATTATACAAAGCATAAAAGTTAATGAGAAACGAGGCGACGCCACCGTGACGACGCCACGGAAAAATGGGCACTGCACAAGAAGAATGTGTTTGATTCTAACAAAACTGGCGTCAAATGACCTCTAAGAGTGAACCCCCGAAAAAAAACACAGGCTTGGCTCGTGAAAAAATACATTGCGAAGAAATCGGAAAAAATGTTTGGGGGTGCGGATTCCGCCATCTGCTCTTTTTAAGGTTTCATTAAGTTTGTACTCCTGTGCACGTGCATTTTTCAGTAGGTCTTTCTCGCCTTTTGCTGTTATGGCTATGTGTGGATTTACAATACATACATAATAAATTATAAGGATTTAATCAGTCAAACATTATAACTATACAACCTAAGGATAGCAAGGTTGGAACCCACATAGTTTCCATACACACACATGCATGGTTTAATATGATTCATCCTCGGCACCTCTTTTAAGATCAGTGAAAACTCCTAATTATTTCATTTGGAAATAGGCAGAAGCAACTGAAATTGAAGAAACGTAACAATGTAAACGTACAATTGACGAACATTCCGAATTCTCATTTTGTGTTAAATAATTCATGTTCAATTGAGGGGGCTTTTTGAGGCAAATTATCTTGGGCTGATTTGTCCTTACGCGAAAGCTAATTATGGAGCAAGGTGAACAAATTATATTTTGAATGCATCAAAACAGCAGCGCATCTCTGGCAGCACAAATTACAGCTGTGGCATTATGGCATTCCTTAATAACACACAAAGTGAGCCAGGATACTTTTGCGGGAAATTGTGACCGCTGATCAACGAAATCCCAGAACAATTTTCCAGAACCGTCGACGCCGCCTCCACGTGCACAACTGGACCTCTGGAGGTCCTTTGGACTTTCAGATTTACTTAGCTTGTAACAGAAACCGTGTAATATCAAAAACTGAAGTACAAAGTATTGGGACCTAAACATTATTTATTTTATATGTCATAAACAAAATGTTGTATTAACAGTGCTCTTATTAATGACGATCGACTGCATTTTCGTCTCTTCAGATACAAGGGACATGTTTTACTTGAGCTGACCACACGCGAAAGGCAATTCTAGTACAAAGAGCCCATCTGGTGTTTTCATTTCCTCGAATAGCCTGGAATCCTTCGCGGTACGTGTAGATAGCTATGGCATTAAGGCTTTGGAAACAAAAAGGCAAAGAAGACGAGTGAACCAGGATGCTCAGCGGCAATATTGCTACAGGTGATCAATCAAAGCCCAGAACAGTTTTCGAGAACCATCACTTCCATTTGCTTTTCTCCAGAAAAATACAAAAGGGCAAGTTTGCCCTCTGAGACAATTTCGTCTCACCATGCATCAGAGTGTTAGTGTGCTACTCGCAGACTTGCACGAATAACAACATATTTTAAACCGCCTTTTGGGTCAACCGTTTTAAGAAATATCTCAGAACGAACGCACGGAGACCAATTTCTGGGTAGCCTGTTTTTGACATGTGCAGTAACCAAACGTGTTTTTCATTTTCGCCAGCTTCCAATCAACATCCCCTTATCGAGAGGATGTTGATTAGAAGCTGCTGAAAATGTACAAATCTTGAAATGGCCGTGGAACATCTACAGAATAAAGGGTTTTCATGAAATAACAGCATTACATTAGATTGAGCCCTAAAAACCTGCAATGAATAAAGTGTCATCGAGAAAACAACTTGAAATCCCTTATTAGAAAGCGATTCTAATATCCCGTTTTAAAGCCACTGAGAAAGCAAATACAAGTACATCAGCGATAAATGTAGTAATACATTATGTACAGCAGCGAAAACTTAAAAAGAACAGTTTTACTTATTATTAACGGCAACTAAATGATTGCAAATACATGCAATGGGCGCCAAACATCAAGAAGCATGAAAGCTTTTTACAAGAAATAATTGTCATCGGGATAGCGAATACATGTATTGAAATAGTTTTACATTATACAGGGTGTCGCAGAAAAAAACCAAACCCTGAGGAAAGGGGTTAATATGCCCAAACCACATGATCATAATGTATAAGGATATCCGAAAAGTAGAAGCAGTATTCTTTCTAATGATGCCTTGATGGCATCCTTTTGTCATACATGACTGAACACTATTGTCTCGAAAATGTGGCATCCGAACTCAGTTGTAACACTTAGGATAAACCAGTGAATGAGGTTTTCCTCTGTCATGCTTGTCTTGGTTGAAAGTGACAACAGAAGGTCATGTTAATGAGGGAAGATTGCCTTATGTCACTTTCAAGTTATGCAATAATCTTGTTTTATGTGATGACTTACCCCGAGGTAGGCCAATGCAGTGATGAAACGTTTTCGAAGTAGGCAGCAAGTCTGCAACTTGGTGCAACTTTCCAAAGAGCAAAGAGTGTTTGTCGTGACGAAATTTCTTGAAAACAAGAGCTTTCAATCCACCCAACTTGCTTTTAGGGAAGCCTTCCCTGATAGGGATCCAGTGGCAAAGTCGACCTTTACATTTGCCTCAAATATTCGACAGAAATGGTTGTTTGTGGTGAAAGAGTATCGTGATCGTATATCGTTGAAGCTCGTCACTCGGATGCGTTGTAGAGATATTTTCAATTGTGTAAAGACAAATTTTTGCCCTCTCCATTTGCAATATACACAGCTTATCTTGCAAGTATACAATCACCGACTTCAAATCCTAAATGATCGCACAGCTTCATCGACAGTTCTAAACTTGATGCAACTAGTGCTCATTTCAGGGGGGCAATGGCTGTTTAATGAACTCTGGAGCTCAGTATTTGCAGTTTCAGAATTTAATGAGCTTGATTTGGAGAATACAACTTCCGTTTAACCTGTGCAGTTTGCCTCATTCGTTTGTAACAAGGTGCCGATGTTACTTAGTTTTGTAACACCGAATACTTTGAACCATTTCAGGGTTCCGTTTGCATGTTGGTTGAAAATAAGAGGTTTTACCGTAACACTGTAAAACTCTGTTTACTTTAGTATCCTTATATGTGAGCTTTTGCAACCATCTCGTGTTAAAGTGTGGCGTTAACAACACTTTGAATTCTGTTTTAAATCTTATAGGACAGAACGAAAAAGCGGTTGTCTTACGCAATCTATCTTATTTCTGCAGGACATTGTCTGATTTGAATGAAGTCTTCAGGTTTGAAAGGACAACATTCTAAGCTTTGATTTGATTTGATACAAAAAATAACAATTTCGGGGGAGAACAAATGTTACTTTTGGGTCTT